ATCCCTGGAAAATATGGCCTCGCCTCAGTGCCCAGGATGTGATCAATGTATATTGTGAGACAGCTGAAGTACAGATGTATTGTGATTTCTGTCATGTCAAACTTTGTAAACCATGTATTGGAGAACACATTGCTGATGAATACGAAAAACATAAAATTGTCCTATTCCAAAAAAAGAAATCCACCTTGATTTATCCAAAGTGTGCAACACACCCAACCAAAACTTGTGATTTACAATGCAAGGAATGCGACATTCATGTTTGCCCTTCATGTTTTACCTCAAGTCAACATAAAGGGCACAGTTTTTTAGAACTCTCCGAAATATACAACTCAAAGAAAAAAGATATCGCAAAAGATACAGAGGAATTACAACACATTATTTCTCCAACATACGAAGAAATCACAAATGATCTAGAAACACAGATAGCTAATTTTGAAGGAGAATATAAGAAACTTAAAACAGCAGTGACAGAATATGGAAAACAATGGCACAGAGAAATTGACAATGTCATCATTGCCATGAAGAAAGAAATAAAAAGTTTAAAAAGAAAACACTTTGACATTCTCAAGAAACATACAGATGAAGTAAAGCAAATACAGTCCCTTATTGAACAAACTCTGCAAAACCTAAAGGAAATTGAAGAATCAAATGAAGTGTCCTTGACCTTTCAATACAGCTCCAGAAACAAAGAATTTAGCAAACTTCCTCCCACGGTCCAAATATCACTGCCAATGTTTAATCCAAAACCAGTAAATGGAGAACAGATTTACAAGTTGTTTGGATCTCTTGCATCTTTATCTACCACAACAGAAGAAAATGGCTACAAACTGAAAAAACCAGAAACATCAACCAGAGAAATGCTGGAAGAACCAGAACTTATCACATCTATAGATACTGGGTATGAAAAACTCTATAGTGTTACATGTCTCAGTGAAGAAGAAATCTGGACAAATGGAGTAGTCAGTGATATGAAATGCTTTAACATTCAAGGTTTACTTATAAAGACAATCAAAACAAAATCAGGGGCATGGCCACGTGATATAGCAGTGAAAGTTGATGGAGATCTAGTGTACTGTGATGGGACAACAAAGACAGTGAATAAAGTTAGGAATGGACAGACAGAGGAGATGATCAGATTGCAGGACTGGACACCTAAACAGCTCTGTATCACCTCCTCTGGTGATCTCCTTGTTACCATGTACAGTGATGAAAAAACACAATCCAAAGTTGTCCGTTACTTACGCTCCAAAGAGAAACAAACAATCCAGTTTGATAAAAAGGGTAAACCTCTGTATTCGGCAAATAGAAAAATTAAGTTCATCAGTGAGAACAGAAACCTGGATATCTGTGTGACTGACAATAAAGCTGGTGCTGTAGTGGTGGTCAATCAGGCTGGTAAACTCCGATTTAGATACACTGGTCATCCTTCTACTACAAAGATCAAACCATTTAAACCTTATGGAATCACAACAGACAGCCAGAGTCAGATTTTGACAGCAGACGGTGATAACCACTGTATCCACATACTAGACCAGGACGGACAGTTCCTCCGTTATATAGATAATTGTGATCTGAAGGATCCATGGGGATTATGTGTGTATAAAAATAATCTGTTTGTTGCTGAGTGGAAAGGGAAATTAAAGAAAATTAAATATTTGGAATAGACATCTTTGTATGTAACTAAATAGATATATATGCTTGTATATAGGCAATTATTATGGTTCTTTTTGGTTATAAAGACTGTTTTATTTTGTAAGTTATAATTGTATTGTTAAAATATCATGTTTATTTTTCAAGTTATCAGAATAGATGGATGAAATTAGTTTCTTACTGTTGGTTTTCACTTAAAATTAATGGAATTAATTATAAACTTCTTAAAGAATATTTTTTTTAAGTTTGATGCAACTTCTGTCATATTTTAGACATAAAATGATCAACAAACCTGAACAAAATTATTGCTTTAATGAGATTTATAAATTATATCTCTTTGATGAATATGAAAAAACCTATAAAAATTACATATAAATTATATTAAAAAAATTATAATAATTATAAAAATAAAAATCGGCTCATTTATCTGTTTTTTTCTCTGTAAAATGCTTTGATTTTATTTCGCATTATACATGACATTGTCACAAGTTGGCTGAATGGTGCACAGTTAGAGTTTGTGCTCCAGAGTGGCCGAGTAAGGCTCACTATGACGGCCCTGTTACTCATTGCAACTTGTCATCCTGGGTGCTAGTATTGCTGTTACCTCCCACATTAAAAAATCAATTTTTATGCGTCTGGATCGAATGGTCCGGTAAGTGTATTGTTTTTGTCCTGTCTGTCTGTTTGTCGGTTTGTTTGTTTGTATGCAAACTTTAACCTTTGCCATAACTTTTGAACCATGAAAGATGGCGATTTCATATTTGGTATGCATACTCCACTAGTTAGGCTCTTTCAAATTACACCAAGGTCATTGACCTTGTTACCTTGAATGTGACCTATATGCTAAAATTAGCTTTTTTGCCTTCGAACTTTAACCGTTGCCGTAACTTTCAACCATGAAAAATAGAGACTTCATATTAGGTATGCATACTTCACTAATAAAGCTCTTTCAAATGACACCAAGATGAATGACGTTGAGACCTTAAATGTGATCTACAGTACCACCGGACACAACCTAACACCAGAGCGAACCCGGAGCGGACCCTGGGTTGTTTCCCCGGGTTCGCTCGGGGCCCGCTCCGGGTTCGCTTTCAGAAATTTTGGGACCGCTCAGGGTGCGCTCCGGGTTCGCTCCGCGTTCGCTCGGGGTCAGCTCTGGGTCCGCTAGAGCGAACCCGGCGTTCGCACTGATGCGTGAAGCAGACCCCGCTTTAATCCACCTCCAGTAAGCCCCGCCCCTTGTATATTCCAATACAGTAATGGTATTGTGGATCGATCATTGTTGTTCATGCGACGATGCGGACATGTACACTAGTACTGTACATGTGTACATGTAAACAGTGATATAATGGAGAACATTGATATATTTTCTAAAATTCAACTGTACATTCGAGGTAGATTTACATGTACATGTTTAATTGATTTCCATGATTTCTCGATCCCGAGAAATTCAAACTAGTTTAACAGCGGGTTGTAAGGCATTTATTTTCTTAAGTTATAACGAGAAAACAAAAAAGAAGAGGACGAAAAGAGTGTTAAATTGATTTTCAGTGTATCGAATGGTGTACAAGTGAAACTGACGAAAGAAATCTAAACTAAATACCTTTTAAATTCATGATTTACTTAGTTTAAAAATACATTTGTTATTCCTTACATTTGCTAAATCGTAGTTTAAATGTTTGCTTAACACGTGAATTATGATATCGCATCTATAAATTACATGCAACCTTTTGTACATCTGATATATTTAGATTTCATTTATAGTTGTTACACATTAAAAGTCCGTAATAAATATTTACCGGACATTTTCTTTAAAAAAAATTACACTGTATATTAGATCTTTTTCACGGTCAGAATTTTGGAGCGAGTATGATTTTTTATCAGAATAAAGAAAAAGGCAAAAAATAATTGTTCTCCTGACCTTATAAGAATATATTAATATATGCCCCCTAATTCACACACACATTGTCTTTAAAAGATTCTAATTATTTAATTTTTTATTTATGATTTCTCAATTTACGTGTTACATTAAATTATTCAAAATTTGCATCAAAATTATTGTTCTTCTTAAGCTTATTGATCTTCTTGGGCATGAAAAAATGCGTGTATATGAAAATCTTCCTTCTGGATGCACAAATTGAAGTCATTTCGCCCTAATGGTATTAACAAACTGAATGACTTCACCAGAATGAACATGAATTAGACCCAATTCCTGATGATACTTAACAAGATTATTCTTTCAATTTAGTGTAATTCTACAGTTAGTTTGCGTTACCAACTCTCTAACAACCCACATAACTGTGTATTACTTACGTCTTTATTAATTACTTTTTCCTAATAATTAGTCCTAAAACATTTCAAAATTTATAATAAATCATAATTCATACGTTAAAATATCCCCTCTATATTATATTTCTCTGATTATTCTTACGCCATTTTGAGAGACTGAAACAATGTACGTTTTTACTAAATGTCGTGATTAATTAGCGTAATTAATTGTTCAATTAATATGTAAATTTCACTTCACCTGAGTATACCCCGATAAACCAAAACATATTTCATAGCGGTCCGGATTTCTTTCTTTATATACATCTTCCTGTACATGTATATTAAAAAAAAAATAAATGCTGCAGCAGGCTTACTGTCGCTCTCTGTTAGGTTGTGTCCCTTCAGTACTGTATATGCTAAATATATCTTTTTTGTCTGCAAACTTTAACCTTCGTTAAATCTTTTGAACCATCAAAGATAGAGACTTCATATTTGGCATGCATACTTCACTATTAAAGGTCTTTCAAATGACACCAATGTCAATGACCTGGTGGCCTTGACTGTGATATACAGTTTATGCTAAAAATAGCTTTTTGAACCATCACCATATCTTTTATACAATGAGAGATAAAGATGTCATACATGCATGTGTGTGGTATGCATACTCCACTAATTAAGTTCTTTCAAATGGTATCAAGGTCAATGACCTTATGACTTTGACTGTGACTTATATGCTAAAAATATTTTTTTTGTACCTTCGCCATAAATTTTGGACCTTATGAGATAGAGAATTCATATTTAGAATGCCTATTTCACTAATCAAGTTTTTTTAAAATGACACCAAGGCCAATGACCATGTGTCCTTGACTGGAACCTATATGCTAAAAATAGCTTTTCAAATTTTGTTTAAAACCAAGGAGCAGAGATGAAGAATTTTAAAGAAGTAATGTATTTTATCTATATAATCAATAGAGCCCCACTCTTACATGTGCAGCAGAACCCCTAACCCTGGGGCCATGAATTTCACAATTTGGGTAGAGGACTAAATGCTAATTACCATCACGCAAACAGTTTGACTGCTTGTTGTCCAGGAGTAAAGAAGATTTTTAAAGATTGCATTAATTTTAGTGGTTTTGGCGCTACTCCTCAGGCTCCAGAGGAACAGAATCCATCAAATTCATGATTTTTGTTCACCTTTAACCAAAGATGCCTTATGTCAAAATTGGTTGAAATTTGTTGATTGGTTGCAGATCTAGAGAGGAAGCTGAAAATGTTCAAATGTTAACGTACGACGCACTTATCACGACGACAGACGAAAACGGATAGCAATAGGTCAGATTTACTAAGGTGATTTAAAAATACACCTGTGATCATGAAATATGAAAGCCATAGTCCCATCCAGTCAAAAGTTATGTGAAATGTTAAAGTGAAAGTTTTGCGGACAAACAGACAGACGGATGGACAGGTAAAAAAAAAAACTATATACCCCCTCCCCCCCCAAAAAAAAAACTTCGTTTACGGGGGCATAAATATAATATGTAAGCTGAAAACCTTTTCACAATCCAACATTTGTTGTTGTTTTTTTCAATTGGTAAAAAAAACCTCAAATCATCACATGTAAGTACTTGTTGAAAGGAGTAACACGATACTACGAGTATATGTGCCATTTTTGGTATGACGAAAACTTCTTTATACTACAACCCCCATTTTGTTAAGGTTTTGTTAACACTACCAAACGACAAAAGAAATTTTAAAGGTTTTCTTTCCCTGGTATCATAGGTCAGAGGCAATTTATTTTAGTCTTGTTTTTTTTTTCAAATTTATTAAACCATCTCTACTTTTTATGAAAAGTTTGAAACTTCATTCATAAAAAACCAAACATTTTTTTTCTAATTTTCTAAGCAAATGTTATTTAAGCTTAAAAGCATTCAGGAATGAACACTTTATATCATAAGGTTGCTTTATATTACCCGTATGTATTCGCCTAACAAGAATATTCCTACTAAAACGAATATTTTTGCATAAAAAAATCACCAGGGGTCATTTTTCTACGAAGTTAGTTCTCTACAATGCACACGGAGAAAATCGACCCTAAGGACATAATTTCTACAAAAAAGTGGGTTATTTTTCTACGTAGAATATTGACCAGGAGGTCACATTTCTACATAGAAAAATGACCCCCGGTTAATATTCTACGGAGGTCACTTTTCGTCGTTACACCGGCAATGGTGACGTCTCCATATAAGTGAAATATTCTGGAGAGGGACGTTAACCAGTATACAATCCATCAATCTAAAAGAAGGAAAGCTATTGACAAACAAGTTCATGAAACAAGAAGAACAGTCTCATTTTAAGATATCATTTTCATTTTGCAAGTTCTATGGTCTAATACGATGACAATCTATCATTCATACTTGTTAGGCCAGATTGTATACACACTCAATTGTTTATGGCCCAAGATTAGTATTCATTTTTTCCAGTCACGACAAAAGCATGCGGTGGATGTGACAGGTTGTGGAAGGAGATGCAAACTCCTAAATGGCATTAAATTTCATCTGTTATGTTTAAAAGATCCATATTTGTTCTGTTCTTCATTTGTAATGTTTTTTTTTAACTAATAAACCTGAAAGTTGTTTATTAACTTCATATTACATTTAAGTCTTCACTTGTGGTTGCTTTTACACTTATTCTTTGTATTAACAAACCACAGGCCTTCCATTCTTAAGATTTTGATATGATATGATAACATGTAACTAATGGGTCATGTGACCATTGATACCTTTACCGCACTCACCGAAATACAGTACTATATACTAATACTCGTGTGCTTCCTGTCATGATAGGGAAATAACGGAAAAATCCATCAATTCAGTTTATAAAATAATGGACTAACTCAACACTGAAGAATAAAATTGTACAAATGCATATAAAGGAATACTTC